GGGGGGGGCGCCCGGTATTTTTGATAATAGCGGTCATCAGCGGCTTCTGAGCCGCTGATGACAGCTATTAATTTAAAGGGGACAGTCTGCTGAACAGTTATACTATAAGCTGATGGTCGCTAAAGCGACCATCAGCTTATAGTAGAACTGTAAATGCCAGGTCCGTATGGCATACTGACCTGGCCAGCTGGAAGCACTTTTGTAGGTCCGTATGCCATACGTCCTTGGCAGCGAAAGGGTTAAGAACATTCACCTTTCACCATACCCACCAATAACTTTAGCACCATGGCACACTTTGCATGGTACAGTCATAAAGGGGCCACTTAACTGTAGTTACCATCAAGCCAAAGGTTTCCTTGTCCTCCTTTGCAAAGGATGGTGTGTAAAGTGCAGGAATTAATAGTAAGTAAAAACTTTTTTTTGTCCTTACTATGTAAACTTATAAAACTGATATAAGCCTTAAGATGCTATGAGCAATTGCACATCATAACACTTTGAACTTAAAGGAGGAAACTCAACTATTGTCACAGATAGAAATAGCAGGGAAGCAAGGCAATGTCATAATCATAGGGTACTATCCTGATATCGATTGTGCAAATAAAAGTAAGGCCCATCACTTCTTGAACACACTCTGAGACAATTTTATGGGACAAATGATGGATACTCTAACTACGAAAAATGCTCTGTTGGATTTAGTAATTACAAACAACACAGAGCTGATTAGGGATGTAGAAATTGGGGTTAACCTGGGGAACAGCGATCATAGAATGATAACGTTCACAGTTAACTGTAGGAAACATAGACCAGTTAGTACGACAAGAACAACCTAATTTTAAAAAGGGTAACTTTAATAAACTAAGATACCTGCTGTGACAAAAATTGGGACCAAATGTTCCCAAATAAGACCACTGAGGAAAAGTGGAAATGTTTCAAAGAAGTTTTTAAATACAAACATTTACCAGTGCATTCCATTAGCCAACAAATTAAAAACAGCAAAAGTTAAACTAGGATAGTTAACTGAGTAAAGCAATATATTAGGGCTGTGGAAATTAAAGATTATTTCTCGATTAATCGTTAAGCTTTTTGATTGATTAAAATTATTTGATCGCTAATGAAAACACTCACGTCACGAGCGCCAGCAAAGGCATTGGCCTATACACATACAGCACAGCAATTAAGTAATAAAGTGAACTAGGATCACACTAATCCAGCATATTATTACTCTGAGTTGCTCCACTCAAGTGGCGGCCATATTGAGTGGGGCACGTGAGATTAATAACGTGCTGGATTAGTGCGATCCCAGTTCATTTTATTACTTCATTGCTGTGCTGTATGTGTATAGGCCAACGTAGTTGGATCTGCATGTGCGTAATAATTATTCGAAATTAATCGATTAAAAATTTTTTTGATTAACCGAACACAAAAATTTTAATCATTACCAACCCTACAATATATTAAAAAAAGTAAAGGGCATTCAAAAAATATAAGTCAGAGGGTTCACCATCAGTATGAAAATACTACAAGGAATAATGCAAAAGAGCAATCAGGGATGCAAAAATAGAGTACAAGGAACACATAGCAACAGAAAGCAAAAGAAATTCTATAAATATATAAATAGTAAGAGGGTAAGGACAGAACATGTAGGCCCCATTAGAGGCTAAAGGGGAAAGTTAGCTACCAGTGACAGGGAGAAAACCGATGTGTTAAACACATTCTTTTCCTGGCCATATCCATGGCAGCGCTGACAAATGGGTTAGCTCCTATTTTCCCCTAGGTAACAGGAACAAGAAAGGGTTAAAAGACTAACCCCCTCCAGCCCATATAAGCCCCTCCTCTTCCTGAGCTCCCTTGTCTTTTTTTGTTCCTGTCCCCCTAGGTCAGGAGGTTTAATGTTTTTCTCTAAGGAATCTTGCTGATACAGCCGCAGGGAAGTTCAGCCTCTCTTCCCTGCGGAGTCCTCGAGTCTCGTGGATGGCTCCCAATGCCTGGAAGAGGCCTACGGTGACCCTGGGGGTAGCGGCCGTGGTATGGGGGTCAAGGGCTTCAGCTTCACAGCCCCTCCGCCGATCAGGTAAGCCCTAGCGATGGTTGCCTCCCTGGGCTGGTCTCCTGTGTGTCTGTCCCCTCTGCAGCTGCTCCAGCGAGGTAAGGGCAAGACAGTATGGGCAGTGGCGGCTTTGCAATCCTTCTGCATGTGTGCGATTCGGACGGGGCCGTTTTTTGG